TGGGGGGGGGGGGCGGGGGGGGGGGGGGGGGGGGGGGGGGGGGCACGAAAGAAGAGTTGAACGACTCGAACACGGCCATTGTCGCGCCGTCGCACTTCACTAGCCAAACGGTGCGTGCTCAATCCATCCATCCATCCATCCACCTACCCAACTAACTAACCTTCCGTCCTTATTCGCCGATTCTTTTCTCCTCAACCATACCCACCCACCCGCTCGCCGAGTCATTCTCACTAACACTGCACCTTGGGCACGGGCGCGTGAACGAGCCATCCCCGGCCCAGCACGAGCTTACACGGACGAACAACCAACCAACCATAGTGCGCACCACTCGTTCATTTCGAGCAAGCACCAGACGACGATTTCAATTGTCTTCACACACGACACTCAACGTGGTTCGTAGCAAAATGCACACGTAAAAACGAAGAGCAATCGTCTTCAGCTGTGCGTCCGATGGACGATCTCGGCGGACGCGTCGGGGAATTCATCGCACAGACTCCAATCACTCTACTGTGAAGAATCCCTGAAATGACACACTCGTTCGAGAAAAATAATAAGAGTAGAACGGAAGGACATTCTCTCGAGCAAGTGTGTGTGTGTCCCGTTCAACAGAGGGAGAAAGCGCGTTCGATCAACCACTGCCTTGCCATGACTCGGCCCTTCCTCGCCAACCCAGTCATCCTTCAACAACGCTCGGATTCAAAGTGTGCGAATCCTCCCAAGCCAATCGAGTGACTTCGAGAGAGAGACACGGATTCCGGTCAACGCGTTAGCAGAAAACTACTGTACATACAGTAATCTATATCCACAACATCAACTTCTCAATGGTGCACCAAGATAATCGGTTTCCTCAACTTTCTCGAGTCCAAGCACATTTCCCTGGCGATCATTGCAGACCAGAGTAATGGTCTGTTCGCAATGTCACAGGAATACGAACGAATAAATCGATCAACACCATCTGACATCAAGACTAATGACCGACACGGAAGAATTTCTCTAATCCCCTTCCCTCCGAAAATCACGGGAATCTCAGAGCAACGTCTCTTGTATAAGGCGCATTAGTAACGAAGCTGATCACCTCCAATTCGCTTCTTTTTTTCCCCCCCGAACGAAAACTCTCAATTCAAGTTGAAAATTCCGTCAGTAACGAGAGCCGAACTCACTATCACGGCAAATATTGTACACCAATCGCAAATCCCACGGCGACAATGACATGTGATGCGAGTTCAGGTCAAGAGAAGCACTTTCTCGGAAATGAAGAAAAAGCTCAGCAGGTTGAGCACTCACCAGACGGGATGAATATGTGTCCATTGCGAGGCAATCGTCGTCAAGGAGGTCCTCGTCACTCGTGTCACTGCCCTGGGAGTCCCGACAAGACACGAATTCCTGACTTCCGCTGCTTGTGACGGTGTCGTCGAGACTTTCCCGACGCGCTTTCAAATGGTTTCGCCGAGGACTCGACAACATTCCACAGGAAGTGCCTCCTCACAAATTATCTCACGCAGATGATCATTCTCGTTTTCTCATCTTGACGTCTCCTCCATCCACTTACACGAGGGAAGAAACTTAGAGCGGGGGAAACTGACTAATTCACCGGGGAAAATAATTTAGACGCAGCGATTTCTTCCACAGTTTTGGCACTGAAAAATCCATTATTGATATCAATAAAGCATGAGCATTTCACGAAGATCAACGAATCATCGTCGAAATGAATCAGCAAAAATACCATAGACTCCAACAAATGAGTAGGAGAAATATCACCACCGTTCGCTTCCGTCATGCCAGCAAAGATCGCCGAAATCGGGCAGCTGAGTCTACGTAGTACTCTCGTAGTTTAACTCACACGCAGGAACTACAGGGCTTCAAAAAGGATAAGGAACCAGTTTCTCGGAAAAAAAATTACAGGTGAATCCTCACAGCTGGGAAGAGGTATAGATCTCGAATGATCCGGCCAAAAGCCGATCCTGAATAAGTGAGGAAACAAGATTTGTTTTCGAGAATATTAGAATAGAAAACCGTTGAGGCGACTCAATGATTGCACCTCACCTTTCCCTTACTATATTACCGTAAATTATATTTTCAAAATCTTCTTTCAGAGTATACCTTACGATCAGCAAAGTGTATCACTCCACTGCGTTTTCTTCTACGAATCGCAGAATCAAAATGTTATCAACAAGAATCAGCCATGAAATAATGTGGAAGAGCCTTCGCTCATCTTATATTTCATAATATAAGATAAATATATCTGTCAGTATTCCGGTCATGTTTCCATGATTCATGATCATCAAATGATTTAAATCCAGTGCTCACTTGCCTCTTCGCTGCATGCAAAGGAAGCCTTGAAATGTAAGTCGCAACGGAAAATCACTTCACGCAATACAAACTCAGTAGTTCTAACTGATGAAGTAAGTCATGCAGCGGATGTTCTCTGCAAATCACTTCTCAAATTCAACAAATGCATGCATTACGAACACACCACGTTTTCGAGACATTATCAAGTTATCAAGCGTACGGATAAAAACCATTATTTTACGCATGACCCTCACATTGATGAGTGAACGGAAAATAGCCTGCAATAAAAATGTTCCGACATTCATGAATTCCACATATCCCTAAACGATTCCACGTGATCCATTCTTAAACAGCAACACACCAGGTATTCACCGGAGGCGAGCTGGATTTTCGTAATCATCGTTGCCAGATTGAACTTATTCGTACAGGACACTACAAAACTCTCGTACTTCAATGTTGTGCAGTCCTATCCGTCTTACATATACAGTATTCCATTTCATATGAGAATCGCAGAACGCCACAATCTTTACTGTATACATACAGTGCTGTTCTGTGTTCACCAAGAACAGAACTGGATGATTGATGGGAATTGCGGTCCTTCTTCAAATCTCAATTCATTTGAAATTGTGGTCATTCAAACCTACAAAAAACATCACACAGCAATAACAGTGAGCTGCATCTGTAATGCAAGATGCAACAATGGAGGCAAAAAATGTGTCACAGTTCCTGGTGGCGAGCAGCATTTTCAGTGTAAAAAATAGTACAGTAATAATTGAAATGCCCGGCATGCACAAAAGGGCGTTTTTACATATGTTATGATGGAAGGTTTATATAGCTATGCTCATATTGTGTAGTGTATGAGTATGTACATTCTTGGTCAGCTCACAGTGTGTCAGGATTATCAGGAATGATTGGGATGATGGAATGGCGCCTCGTATATGTACTGTATAAAACCCAGGAGCGCCTCTGAAATTAAAAGTATGACTCCGAAATGATTTCAAGAAATTTATTTCATCAGAATTTTATCAAACTTCTCTAAATGACGTCCTGTCTACATTGAGGTGAGAAGAGACACCGGCATGCCTTATTTTACTATTTCCGAAAATATAATCTTGCGCTGACAAGTCTTGAAACAAGAGGAAAAACTTAAAAAAAGCATCGTTACTTCTCAACCCTCACTTTTAATCTAGAAAGAGTTCAGAAAGATTATGGTAATCTGAAAAAACACAGATATGACAGATAATTTATAGGTGTATATGACTTTCTTTTATAACTCTTCTATTGCTAATATCTTCTCCACCTTTTTAGAATTTGCTGTTTACAACTATAGTATACTGTTTATGAAAGACAATTTTAAACAATTGTTCAGGGACGAAGTGCAGCTAACAAACTTATGGCTCTGGAGTAAGATGCATTTGTTTTCACATACAAAAGCACAAGCTTAGGAATGCTGCAACTGTAATTACTTTTTTTTAATGCTTCTTGATCTAATTTCTAGAAAATTTCATGTTCTTGAAAGCTTCCTTTGTTACTTTTAAAATTTGTACTCCTTCCTTGCGCTCATCTCTGGGATTGTTGCCATTTCATTAATGCACTGATACATTTCAAGGTACAGTATAGATCCTGCTAGAAAACTTGAATGGAATCCACCTGCAGAAACATCTTCCATGTTCATGAAAGTTCTTCCAATTTTTCAAAAGGATTTTCAAGGATACTTCCTTTGGTTCAAAGTAATTTGGCAGTGACTAGCATTTGAACAACTGAGAATCAATAAAATTTGGCCTTTCAATCACTACATGCATCTCCCACGAAAATGTTCAACCCTTATTCTTCAGCAGTTTAAGTAGTTTTCAGAAAAATTGCTTTAGAACAAAACATTCGTTCACACATGGCGAAACGATAACTGCTGAAAGGCATAATCCAGGAAGTTCATGCTACACAGCTTTCATATAGACATCAGCAACATAGCAGGCGGAATCCACGCATCATGAGGGACTCTGTTGCATGATGAAAACGCAATCACTGAAAAAAAAAAAACCCTGAAGAAAATTTTCCGAACATTTCAGCAGATCATGAGTTTAGACACTTGATAGGTGAATTTCTCGTCTTTTTCCAGCCCAAAACTTGAGAATTTCGGGAAGCGTTCCAGTGTTGCACAGTCTGGAATGTAAACGATTAAAAAGAATCCCGGCATCATACGACCGATATCAGATGTGTACCATAAAATTTCTGTCCGAAAGAAAATCGAATGAGGTCATAAAACCCTTCATTTGCTTTGATGAACGCCATCGGAACATAAATATACATCGTGTTATATAGAAAATCCGGTGACAGGTATCCTCAATTTTCCGAAGAGTCAACCGTCCCTATTGACTTCGTCATAATGTGAGAAATTATTTCAATATCTTATCCCTTTAACATATTCAGGTTTTCAAGGTCGATCACGAATTCTTCGCATGCATCTGGAATGCACATTTTTCTCCTATTTTTCGACGGAAATTATCTTTTGCGCCATGAAGCCCACCCTGGAGCACATGAATTTTCCGTGAGTGGACTTCTCGCCGGAGCTTTCACACTGACGCACCGACTGCAATGGAAAAAAATATGAGAAGTTTGATAATTGACCAAATGAGGAAGAAGCAGAAAAACTGCAGCATCAGATGTTCAAGTTCAACTGAATGGCTCAGCAGCTGTCTTGTCCACGCCGGATATCCTTTGGCAGATCAACAGAGATTTCAGCTAAACGTGACACACAGCACACAAAAATTCGCCATATACACAGTACAGTACCATGCTGACAGCGAGACACAACAATTGTCACGCATCAGTCGTTTTATTCATTTCCAAAATCGGCAACAAACTCGTCAGACTCAAAGTGGAGTAGGCAACATTCAGGTAGACTTCTTGCTTGGAACTCCGCACTTGGCTCTTCATCAGCAGGCGCCTCGAAAGGTAATCCGAACACTCCTCCACATGCCCGACCCGCTTCCACTCATCACTCGTCCCCCCGAGCACTTGCAAATCCACCCGCCTCATCTGCCTCGCTTCCAGCAAAGGTACTCCACACGAAACCACTCTCACATTCAATCCGAATCGCGTCAGGACCTCCAAAGCATCCGCCAACAGAACTTCAAATCCTGCGCATGAGTATACATCGTAACTCCATCAACTCCCAAAGAAAAGAAAAGAACACCCTGACTGCCACAGGCGAATTTAGGCTCAGGCCGTAATTCAGCCCACCATTCCTCTAGAAACATGATCATGACTCACCATGATCCCCCGACGTTTCCTGTCCAAAGATCAAGGCGGAACAGGAAAAGTTTCTCTCAGCACTCGTGGGGTAAACGTTGCCCGTGGAGAACACTTTCAGGGGCAGGGCAACGTGAGGCTTCGTCATTCTCCTCGCAAATACGGAGCACATGGCAGCAAGAGAAGCACTGCCCGGCAGAAACAAGTGCTGCTTCTCCAGCTGCCAGCAGTGACGAAAGTAATGCGGTCCGTAGACGGCTTCCGCGACGTCCGCAGTGACGGTGTCGGACGGACTCCAAGGCTGGTAGCCCTTGACTCGCATCCAGTCGCGCAAGAGGAAACCCACGTCTAGTTCCGAGCTTTCTCCCAGCACCGGCTTCTCCCACGGATTCGGCACGCAGAAATGACCCGTGATTTCCGAGGCATCAGCAACTGTCTCGTGCAAACTGTTCGGGAGATGGATCAGCTTGGTCAAGAGGTCCTCTTCTAGAGCCCACCGCTGTTCTCGAAGCTCCACGCGCTTCTTCTGCTCCTTCAATTCTTCCCATCTTCAAAAAAAAAAGAAAAGAAAAAGGCAATTGTTCTTCACTTTGTTCTTCCGAGTATTTTCGCCCTCACCGCTGGCGAAGGCTCTCGACCGCATCCGAGGCACTTTCCGCATCGGAATACACGCGACGTCTCACCAGATTATCCACGAGTTGCTCTCGATGATCCCAAACCTTCTCGTACTCAATTTCCGGCTTCAGCACCAACACTTTCTGCTCCCCTTGAATGCCCACCGAAACCAAGTTCGATGCGAAGCGGACGCTCCATCTCAACCGAGACCCCAGTCGACACCGAGACAACATCTGTAAATTCACTACGGAGTTACATGAAAAAAAAAAAAAAGAAAGCGCACGAAAAAAAAAATCGGAAACCCAGGATCGCTAAAAATCAGAGGGGGATCTTATTCTTCACAACTTTCCAAGTAGCAAAAATCAAACACAAATCCACAGACGTGAGGAAGTGAAGCAAATTTTCTTGTCTTTTTGTTTTGTTTTGGGACATCAAAAATCACTCTTCCATAGCTTGATCGTTTTGTCATTTTCCAGGGCAGCGGAAGCAATGATGTTCTCGGTCGGATGACAGGCTGTGCAGAGCACCACGTCGGAATGCCCAGCGAGCTTCTGCACAACTTCCTTCGTCTGCAGGTTCCAAATGTACACCATGTTGTCTTCGGAGCCGCAAACTATCCACTGAGAAAAACCAAAAAAAAAAAAAAAAACGCAACGATCTCACAACAGCCCTCAGCCAGTATCGAGATCAAGTGAGTAATCAAACCTTTCCGCCAGTCACGGAGAAGTTGGCAAAGATGCAATGCTTCTCGTTCTTGTGTCCCGTGTACGCTTTCAACGGCTTCACCTTCGCATAGTCCCACAACTTGAGCGTCGAGTCCAGCGTGGCAGCCAAGATGTATTTCCCATTCGGGGAAAATTTGACGTAGGAAACCGGCGGGTTGTCATCATCGATCAGCGTCTTCAAACACTGACCCGACTGCGTATCCCAGATTCGACTGCGAAAAAGGAACAAAAAACAGGTACTCTCCGGAACTCATCACCCGCTCGAAAGTCAATTACCACAAGCCATCGTACGATGAAGACACGATTAATGTTCCGTCTCGGTTGAAGTGCACTGCGGAAACGGGATCGGAGTGCGCCGGAAGGGTTTTCAAGCACTTTCCCGTCTTCACGTCCCAAATTCGAACACTTTCGTCAAACTGTGAAATACCAGCGATTACAAAGCATCACTATGTGGTACACACGTTCCAGGGAATTGGGCGGACAAAATAAAATTCTCACCGAACCAGAGACCACCAAGTTGGACTGCGGGTTGAAATTGCAACAGAAAACATAATTGCTGTGTCCCTTCAACGTTTTCAAACACTTGCCCTGGAAAAGCGAACGTAAATACCATACTTTAAAACAGGAAAGTTCCAAAGGAACACAACTCACGAGTCAAAATAGTCACAGCTACGCAAAATAAATGCATACCGTCGTGAAGTCCCAAATTTTCAGCGTTTTATCATCTGATGCAGAAACGAGATACCGGTTGTCGTGAGACCATGCCACATCGGAAATTCCCAGCTTGTGCCCCGAAATGGAAGTCTCGAACTTGCCGTCGTACGCACCCCATATTTTTATCAACTTGTCAGCAGCTGAATAGAGAGTGAACGAAAACATTTAAGGTAAAATGAAACAATACGCAAGACAAAATTACACTTCGAAACAAAATCCACTATCGTAACTGAAGCACTCGAGCGTTATGGATATTTAGTATGCCTAACCACAACAGAGAATAATACACTGTAAAATACCGTGCGAAATTTCCCTTCACGCAAGGAAACCTGGTCTTCATGAAGTATTGGAAAAGGAGTAAAGTAACCAAACAGAGGGCATATTTATGGCACAAACAAACTAGCACCCGAGCAAAGACTCGTAATTTCAATACTTTCAACAACGTAATTCAAGTTACAATTGTGTTTGCGAAAGTTCAATTCAGCGCTTCTCCGTAAATTCGGACAAAATTCAATGATCATCTCTTTTTCTTACACACCTTGCAACTGAGTTTGAAATAATGTAGAGTAACCGCTGGAACATAAAATAAGCAAAACCGTGATAAATTTGCGAACGCTTCTTCAGCATTTTTTTCTGACTTGAAAACAACAAATTTTGAACAGTTTTAAACTTCATGGTAAAATACTGCACTAGTGCACTCACAAAATCCTCATTAGTACAACGCACAGTCATTCTACAGCACACGGGAGCTCTTTCGCAAAATACGTTCGAAACCTACCGATACATTCAAACATTTGAAATGTGTCACAGAAATCCTATCCCGAATTTCAAAACTGCGACAACCGTAATTCAAGTAGTGAAGAAACATTCATATTGCTTGATAACACCTCATTTGTCCACCGGAACCGGGAATACTTACATGAACTAGCCAGCCACTCTCCGCTTGGACTAAATTTCACGGCAGAAACAGCTTTCTGGTGCCCAGCCAACGTGTAGATCAAGCGATAATTGGGTTTCTGAAAAGAAAAAGGAAAAATCTTATCGAGTCGTCATCGCAAAAATAAAAACAAGATAAACCACTACAGTATTTATGCACGCGGACGAAAAAAAGAAACTCAACACACGACGAACACTAAATTCGCGTAAAATCTGCACGAATTCCCCTCTTAATTAAATTTCTGCTGTGATAAAACCAAACCAGGAGTCCAAGACACAACTCGAGAAACTAAAATTGTCATGTCCGAAAGTTAAATTGCACTCACTGTTGCGCCGGAACTGGCTTTAGAAGTTCCTGAACTACTTCCTCTGTCATGATGCAGATCCATCAGCTTCGAAACTTCATTCAAATCTCTTTGAACCGGAGATATCACGTCTAGGCAATGAATCCAACACTCACTCCCGCAAAATCACTCGATATCTCCGGATAAGCAATCAACAAAACCTGACGAAAAAAAAGAAATGCGAGTAATGAGAAGCGAGTACATAGGTAATGATGATGGTTCTTATATCAAGTCATCCGAATCGCGGCGATCTCAACTGCATCTTCTATTCGTCACACTTGTTCCTCGGTCGCAAAAGTCAAGCTTACACAAGACCTTCCGCATCAGGAACGGGGGCCAAGGAAACAGAAACTGTGGTCTTCAAAAAAGGTTGGCAGTCACAGCCATACACAAACCATGCGACACGGGTGGCGATGAAACACTCTCGGGGTTTCACGGAGAGTCAAAACAAACGAGGCGGAACAACAGCACGAGTGAAAAACGAGGAGAAGGAAAACACCGGCCTTCGAGTACACTTTCCCGACAACATCCTATACTCTTTGAGCCACGTCGAAACGCCAAATTTTCAACAGACAAAATGCCGGAAACCAAACCCCTTCTCTCTCTCCTGGAATGCCGGTCATCCTAAGTCACCGAAGATTCGAACGTTGGAAACATCCCAGATCTACGCATGAACTCTCGGTTTTCTCTACAGTAGCGTACACGACAGTCAGAAGAAAAACGATTTTGCCAGTTGAGAAACACACAAAAAAACATCGAAAGATGCCTCCCTTTGAATCATGGCTGAAATTTTCAAGTGATCCACAGCTGACTTTCTCAAACCAAAAAAAAAAAGATAATTCGGAGTAGAAAAAAAAACAAACAAAAAAAACGATGATTGCATCGTAGAAATTCGACCCGGCTCGGGAATTCGTTTCCCGATTCGAAAAACCATTTCGACCTGGGGGTGGGGTATAAAGAGACGAATTATACCTTAAAATTTTCTTGCGAACCCGTCGAGGAATAAGCGAATTTTTGCGTGGGTAACAAACGATAAGCAAAAAAACAAACAAACAGTCAATCCCCAAGCTGGCGACGTTCATTGGCCCGGTGTGACGGTCACTTGCTCCATGGCTTTGGCCAGCGACGTCGTCTTGGACGCTGGACTCTGGGCTTCCGGCGAGCTGGCCGACGACGACGTGGGCGTGTCAAAGCCCGAAGTGGTCGTCGACGACGGCGGCAGTGAGGGAGTCATCATCATCGTCGTCTGCGGCATGAGGAGGCCGCCAAACAGACGCTTAGGCAGCGGTTGCACGTCCTGGTCGCCGCTGCCGGCCAGCAGGAGCTCGCACTTGCGCTTCACAGCCCCAGCGAGCTGCTGGTTGGCTCGCATGGCAATCGGGCTCTGGCTCCGACGGGTCGTGAACGTTTTCCGGGTCGGTGACGGAGACGGTGACGGCGAGAACGACACGCTGCGCATCGTCAACTGCGTGTTCAGCCGCGTTCCTCGCGTCGGCGACGGCAACTATCACGAAAAACAAAACACCTCATTTTTGAAAATCACCCCAAATGCCCGGTTCAATCTGAACACGACAGTGCAACTCGTTGAAAGCAAACCCGTTCAGGCCAACAATTTTAAAACTGACTGGAGTCTCGCAAGAATACCAACTCCGATCACAACATTCATCAATCGCACGCGTGAAGAAGAATGGTCCGTTTCTTCACTGCCTAGAAAACAGTTCGTGATTATGGGACACTAGCCAACCGAAACTCGATGTTTGACAGCTTCTCACTTCAAAGGCATCAGAACAGCTCAGTATTTGACACAGATCTTAAAACAGAGATTTTCGGGCAACATCAAATTGATATAAAGACGGACACCCTTTCACCTGATCACGCTACGTCACATTACATCGCACTTCAGAAAACTTGAAAATTTGTCCAACTTCGCATGATGACGAAGACGATACGCTCTGTAAACTTTGTTACGTGCTTCTCACGAGCTCAAAATGATAACTCCAGGCAGCAGAGACACTTTTCAAAATTATAACGTTTTGCACTACGCGTAAACCATTGATGAGCAGAAAAAATCAGGTGTCCTCACGGGGCAAGAGTGGTGCTGAAAGATAGACAAGGGCTGCGGGGCAGTAAGCAAGGAGCCAAGCTGCTGCGAGCCATGAACACCAGGTGACATCGGACCAGAGCTCCACGGTTCCAGATTCACTGTAAGCGGATCTGATACCCTGACGTGACGAGTTTCCGCCCCCTTCATTGAAAATAAATAGATTATAGTTCAGGACTCCATCGGCAGAAAAAACACAACTTTCAGACAAAAAACCTACCACTGACAGATCACCCCAACTTTCCGATAGTCTCAACGTTGAGTGAAGGTCGGATTCCTGACTGACTTCGTCCAGTCCTTCCTCTTTTTTCAGCTGCTGAACACGCGGGGCCAAACCATGCGGCGACTGCGAAAGAATCATTATCATAGTCAAGTCCGTGCGATACACAACGCGAAGAGAATACACACAGATGGAGAGGACAACGAGCCGTGATTCGCACTTAAACGCCGAGGTCGCCAACTATTCGATAGCGGAGATAGACTCGCAGTAGATGTCATAGATGCTCTGGCAGAGAAATGACACTCTAAGTAATTTGCTCAGTTCCAAGACGACAACATACACTACAGTACCTGGGGTTTCGAATTCGTTCCACTGTGAAACTAGGGGAACACACCGCAGTGTCCGAAATTTGGTCGATCATCGGGGCACTGCTGGATCGCTTCAAGCAGCTTGCCGACGATGCGGACGACGAGCTCGGAAGAACTGGATCGTCCGGTGGATCGACGTCCATCTTCTGCTCGCATGTTGTACACCTCGACGCTTTGTCCAGCGCGACGGCCTTTCTTTCTGCTTCACGTTCTCAAACAAGAAATACTTCTAAACAGGAAAGAAAACTTTCAAGATCCTCAAACTTCGGGATTTCTGAGGACTGACGCACGAACAATGAACACTGGTCACAATACTTATCGACTGCACGATACCGTCGATCAATTCAAAATTCTTTCTTTTCAGCCATTCGTGGGCACGAATGCAGCAATGATTCAATCAACCCGTCTTGGACTGTCGGTATCACAATGAGATGCACGACGATCAAAACATAGAACGTCGTCGTCACTTAACCACGTCAGTAAAAAACGAGTCGAATTCATAAAAAAAATGGAAGACGGTCTTGGTCGGTGACCTCGAATGCAGAGGGTCGAAATGAAATCAAGTTTAGAAAAGCCGGTGGACTCAAGATAAACAAGTGACCATTCACAAGCACACATTTCCGAAGTTTCAAAACAAGCATGACATTACATCTTCAGCACAACATTCCGCGATAAGGACGAGGTTTTTTTCTTCATAACTCTGAACCTTTAATATTGCTCTCGATGCAACCACTCTATTTTTAAAAACTCTCTACGCTTTTATGGCACAGGGAATGTGAAACAGACTTTCGAACGCCTTCTCGTACAGCTTCAAAGCACCGAATTCAGGACGAAACCCGCCGACTTTGCCAGGAGAAACAGGGACCGGTAGGATGTGCAAGCTCTCGATTCTCGGAGGAATCGGCCCTTTCATAACACGAACATCGCATGAAGTTCTGTGACGATGAACTTCGGTCACAGGCCTTCGCTTGCGAACACGCACTTGTGTTTTTCTCACATTCGTTATTTTTTGCACATCGGCAACTGTCGGCTTCACAGGCTGCTTCACGCTGGACCTCGGTGGGGGGAGTGATTGTCCCGGCGGCAAACCTCGCTCAGCTTCCAAGATGTTCAATATTTCCTGATCTGCTTCACTGATCTTGTTCTTGTTTTTCGAAATTGAGTCGCCGTGCAATCGCTTGAAGTTTTCAATATCCTTCTTTGTCTTCTCCACGTCGACTCCGTTCACGAGGTTGAAGATCACGGTCTCAACGAATTCAAGATAGTCATTGTACAGCCTCAACGTTTTGAAATCACTTCGCATCAGGTTTATCTCCTTCAGAAGATTGTGTCTTATTTCATTGTCTCTTTCGACATAGGCTTCACGATAAACCTGTGGGCGGAAGCCTTTCTTGCGGAGAACTGTACCACAAACAGGACACGGGTTGGGCCCACGAATGAATGATATTTCTACGCAGCTTGAACACCACGAATGACCGCACGAATTCACGAAGAGTTTCAATGACGGATCAGCAATTTTTAATGTTTTACATTTCGTGCAACCACCGCCACTTTTCATCAAGTCATGGAACTTCTCCGAGAATTCTTGTTGACACGTTTTGGACATCCTGAAGATTTTCGAAAGACGCATTCAAGTAAAATATATCACAAGGGGAAGAGTGCCGTTCCGATTTCCCAGTTTCAATTCGCAGAAGAACGACGATCATTAATCCACATACTATAACGCATCATACGAGCAGACGCCAGAAACGCTCGAGAAAACCTCAAATCCTTTAAAGAACTCACTTCAAGTCAAGTACTCCTGAAGAATTCAACGTGTGAGACTGATCAACGAGTTCCGAAATCAAACGAGTGCCACATCGCATGTTACACCGCGGTGAAGAACCACGCGATCCGGTAACGTGAAACCGAAAGGAAGACTCCGCTTCGCACATAGCGACACCTAGTGCACCGCCTGACGAGGCTCTCCGACGTTCAACACTGTAATTACAACGAGGTTCTCCTGGCACCAGGTGTGAAGTGCAGTAATGTATGTTTCAAATACTTTTTCATTAATACATGATTGTTGATTGGCCACAAGATTGAAGCAGTTTTTGCTCTATTTACTGAGGAAATATACTGTGCCCGCTTGATTGAGATGCTTATCCATAATATATACTGTATCTGTTAGCCAAAGTTCTTCCATGAGTCATTATCCCTGCCAGACGTTTTCAATTAAAAATTGAAATTATGAAGAATGCATTGCCTGCTGGAAATTTGCTCAAAGTTTATTGAAAATGTGATTCAATTGTGTTCTCATTTTATGTTAAATATAGAAGTCTAGAAAATTTTTGAAACAAGCATGCTTAAGGAGGGGAAACGTTTTTTTGAAAGTTACTCTAAAATTTTTGCAAGCTTCAAAGTTGAACCTCAGCTAAAAAAAACATATTTACCAGGCTTGGAAATGGTGCATGCATTTTTCCACTTTACAGTACATTGTATTGAACAAGCTGTGGGTGCCTGCTTGGTAAATTTTATGGATTTCAAATTTTTTCTGACTGTAGGAAAGTTGTACTGTACACAATGAGGGGTCTAACAAATTTCCTTTGAATATATATTACCGTACCATGAGATAGAGCTGCTGATTATTGTTCAAAAACATTTTTGGCAAAAAATAATATGCACCGTTTGACATATTTTGTGGAAAATAGTTTAAAAAAGTGTCCCCATTAGATTTCTGCTCTCTATACAATGAGGCGCCCATCTTGTATAAATTCATGGTGTAGCCCAGCTTCTCCTTGAGATTTCCAGAAATTTACAGGGCATTAATTTTAAGGGTTGCCCCTGTATAGTTCTTCCAAGGTCATTCTGCCATTTTCAGTATAATACCAAGCTTCCACGCATTGGAATCAGAATGTGGATGTTGTGCAGGCAGTTGTTAATATAAAATCCGGAATTATGTTAATTTTTTAGGCATGAGATATGAAATCTTCCCTAAAGGGATGCAATGGGAACGTGTCATGCTTATCCTTTGAATTTGAATTTAGAATTTTATCAGCAGCAGCTTAGAAAACAGTTTCCCACAAGAGATTCCCCAAATTTGATTAAGATATGCTGCACAATGAATTAGGATATGATTAAAATCACCATGTAGTATTTAATTCTCACAGTAATTTCAAAGCTGAGGGTTTTGTATTCTGCAGTTTTTCCTTGAATGAATTCCTTGCCATATTTCAAGTGCACTATTCCATGTGCAAAGGGGCTTTTGCATGAAAGCAGCAATTAGCTACAAATTTATGGCGAGTTTCTGCCTAGAACAAATATAAGTGGTGCCTTCTTCCTGATGGCAACACCTGCGGGATTTTGCTGCATCAATTCAAAATTCTTGAAAACCTCCAAGTAGCAAATTATATGAGCTGGGTGAACATCATGAAATCATTTATTCTCTGCTGGAGTGTTTTTTTTTCAAACTAACTGATTTACTGAAATGATCTACACATACACACACTCCATGCATTTCTTTGCTCTATCCATAGCCGTGTTCCCCAACCTTTGTGGGCCTGCAGGCCATGAACTTTCTCTAAACATTTTGTGAGGACTGGCAGATTTCCAAAATAAATTTCTGCAGCCTGGAAAACTACAGTATTTGGATAACTACAATACTACTACAACTACAGACTCATAAACAATTTCTCTGAAAGAATTTGTGGCAAGTATATGAAAAGTTTGTGGGTTTTGCTAAAATTCAGTTGAGAACCAGTGAAGCAGATTACTGTGGAATGTCTTCAAAAAATTGGAAAGTTGAGCTTGAAGAAAGGTTTCATAGAGTGAAGACAAATTTATGCAGTTTATTACAGCAGGTGAAAATTTTTCTGAAGCATTATCATTAGAATAAGAGCAAACTTCTATTTTTCATCCGATGATTTCAAAAGCCATTTCTTTCCAAAAGTTTCATGTAAATTAACATATTTCACTGTTGCTTTTGATAAATTTATTATGCTAAAGAAAATTTGCTCCAGATTAGCAAAAAATAATGTTTGCGGGATGGCAGCACTGGTCTCTGTACCACAGATTTGGCAACACTGCTCTGTAGAGATTTTAGGTTCTATAGACTGATGTAAATAAGGGACAACACCTAACTGCTGGTGAATTTCACCTGGTGGACATTTGCACATCACCTTCATCCTGCCATGTGTTATGGCTCTTGCTTGTACACCAGTGCTGTGATGTGATGGGATGAGTATGTATATACAGTACAGCAAGTGCAGTACTGTACATGCATAAATGGACTGCTCAGTATAGGTGTAGTAGGCAGTAAGGTACTAAATATGCAGTACCATATTATACTGCATCAGTTGATGCGCTTGCCTTATTGTCTTGGCAGTATATACATGTGCTGTGGTCCCAGTCAGCATGCTCAGTCTCCCGCCAGCACCGGCTCTTGCTGCAAGTGCATGCTGCGCTGCTGCTTCTGCGGCTGCAGGCAGGCTTTATTCCATTATCACTCACTCACTCACTCACTCACTCACTCCGAAGACAGGATACATATTTAGACTCTTTCTGAGGCTATTGTGATGTTGCATTTATATAAAAAAAAAAAAGTGTGTGCTTTATTGTGCATGGATATAATGAGGTGCGCATTGCTGTGCAAATGACGATTATCTCATTATTGGTCAAATAAGACTTTTGGTTGACGTGATTGTTGCTAAGCAGCAGCAGCATTACAGAGGTTCGGCTCTTTTTTGTATTTAATAAGAGATAATAATGCGCGAGTGGAAAAATGACCCCGTGTGTTTTTTGAATGAATTTATTGTATATAATAGTGTATGTGTTGCAAAAACTATATGAAAACGCAAAGAAATTGGCGTGCAATTATGTTTCGATATCATACCATCCTCTTGTTGTAGTTTTCTGCTCTTCTGTTCTGTACATTCTTATTTGAAGCACCTGTATACAAGTTCTCTTTGTATATACAGGGTGGACCTAAAAAAAAAAATAGAACCCATTTTTGACTTGGAATAGTTCAGAAGCGAATCAAGCAGCAACACTAAAATCCACCAAAGGCAAGCTTGTGCAATTCCCTTGGTGTATGGTTACATGGCCTCAGCTCCCAAGTGCCACAGCATGGCCACAATATGAACCACTTTCATAAACAATAAAATAATCAGGGAGCTTCTTCCACTAAGCTGCTGTTCTCCAGAGCTGCTTTTAGGAATAGAAAGGGGTACAGGGCCAATAATTTAACCAAAAACTTCATGCTACCTCCATGAGGGTGCATACATTTCCAAAATCCAGGAGATATAGTGGTATGTGAGAAGTGCAAAAAAGAAAATTGAGCAGTGGGGGATGTTTTCTCAACTTCCAAGCCCTGATGCAAGTTTTCTGGGTACCAGTCTCATGGCTCCCATGACCCCATTGGCCCATATACATGCTAAATTGATAGGGATGACTGGATTGCTCAAAATTGGTTTTACTCATTTTTGGAGAATTTTCATCCAAATTTTTCTTGTGAATATGCTGTGGCACTTGAGACTACAAAACTGCAAACCAACTGAAAGCAAATTGAATATTGTAAGCTTTCATTTGTTTTTTTTTCATTGTGGTTGCTTTGCTACAAGCTGTTTTAATTTAAAATAGTAATGGTTATCTATTTTGGCCCATCCCCAAAAATGTATCTTAATTTTCAGAAGGTGAAATCCAATCCCCATAAAATAAAATTTGGAGGCATGCACAATCAACTGTACTGTACATTCAAAAAAAAGCTTTATTGAAATTATGCGTGTCTGTCTTTTGTTGAAGATGGGTGTTTCCCCCCAGAATTTTGTATACAATAATCAGATATATTCTTCTCAAATTCAACAGAGGAAAAGGGAATGCATCTCATTTATTCTCATACATGAGTTTACATTTTTAAAAAAGTTTTAGAAATTGAGGGACTGGAAAGCATGCTTGATTCTCATGTTAAATTTGGACCAAGTTCAACAAAAACATATTTATTAGTACCAATGGAAAATTAGTCAAATTAATGTTTAATTCATGTCTAAACTCAAGTTTGAATTTTATTAATTTTGAAATACCTGCTGTATCACAGTTTTATAGTCACAAAAATTGAGGTGCACCACTAACCTGGGGATGGGATTTTATCCCAATTTCCCACCAAAAAACTCTGTTGAGGATCTTACTGATGAGGGTAGATGGCATTTGAGTGAAGATGGTTATATGTGCTCCCCTTTTTTTTACCTGCCTCATCATTTTAATGTCTTAATTTTTAGGTAACACGCCAGACGATTTATATATAAATACACACATACATTTATAAGTAATTTAGCATTATTAAGACACTTATCATGGCATTTAAATTAAATTCTCAAGAGTGTCCAAGTGGCGTAATTACTGCAGTGTTAATGCATAGTTTATTTTGTTACTGCATCACCAGAAAACCATTACGACCAGTATATTCCACAGCAGCAGAAGGAAGCTTATAAAAGACTCAGGATTCTCACAACTATCATAAAAAGGTCTTTTCTCAAATCATAGAAGACCTGGAAAAACTGTTATCTATATTTGATTTTTTTGAAAGATCCTCTCTTAATTGTTTTCTCAGTTGAAAATTATCTGGGAGAACATGCCAAGCACCCTGTGCTTTACTTTGTGCTCAGTAATTGTCTTGTGCTGTGATTCTTGTCATAAAAAAGTTGGCAATTCAGTATAGTATTCAAGTATTTTTTTTGTATACATTACTGTGATATATTTTATTCTTATACATGTATTAAAGAGTGAATAATTGTTTCCTCCTGATAGTACTGGAATGTACTTGAAAGGAAGTGAGGAACTATTTATTTTGAACTTGCATATGATGAATGGTTGCAGATAAAATTAACATATCACACAATGTACAGTCAACCCCCGTCTAATGGACTTGATTCGTGCAAGGGATGAGTCTGTTAGACAAAAA